AGGCCCTGGAAAAGTTGTGGAAAACAATATTTTTCCCAAAGTTTTGGAAAGGTCATGGAAATGTAACTAAAGTTGCATCAAATATAATTTATATTTTATCTAATCGCCGAAATAGTAATACTATAATGATAATAAATACTGTATGGTATAGTAATGAAACGTAAAATGGCATTTAACTGTCGAGGTATTTTGCTGGTGAGAGATTTTAGTTGCTTTAGCGTGTAGAAGCTAGTAAGCCTACTATTTGATTTGTTTTAGATAGGCACAACATGTTTCAGACCTTATTTTCCTGAAAATTAGGTAAAGGTCATGGAGAAGTCATTGAAAATCATTGGTGAAAAAGTGTATGAACCCTGACTGTCCTTTGAAACACCATTTAGGGCTCCGTTTCCTGTCTGTTCTCCTTTTAGATGAGATGACATGATGATGATAATCTGCGTCACTCTCTTTGTAATACATTTTCTCTTCTGCACTGTTCTCTTTATAGATATATATAGAGATACAGAGGCCAACAGACGTCAACCAAATGGACTTTAATGCCTTTTACCTCCATGTCATTTAAAAGTCTTAAGTAATGAACGTGTATCCAAAATGATGTGAGGCATTTCTGTTGCCTTTCTGTTTATCCTGTTTCCTCCTGTTTACCAAGAGGACTCAACACATTTTTGATCTACCGTTCAGTATACAGAGTAACCTGTCATCTATTAGTCCTCTCATTTTAAATTGGATTTAAATATGTTTGAGGTACCGATGACAAGAGTATAGTATCAGATGTGTCCTCCCTGACATCGCTCTAAAATGGTCTTAGCTATTACTTTGTTCAAATGGAGCCTCAATGACCTCCTTGGCCCACATCTGAACTAAGAGAAGTCATAGAAATCTGAAACTAGATCACTGCAGCCTTTAGAAGTTGCTGTAAGATCAAAGTAGAGATAGTTAATATCTCCTCTGATCTGTGATCTATTTGTTGCAGCTCTATATCAAAACAAGATCTTGTACACTCCCTTCAAAAGGCTTCATTTGTGTTTTAAATCACTGGAATTTCCCTTCAAGCAGGACAATTCAGTACCCCTGCCCCTTTTATCGCTTATACTATTGATTTTGTGCGGCCTTTATTAAGTCACAATGTCCTGTGTTTTTTACTCTTGTATGTCGACTGTTTATCCCACATCTCAACTGTCAACCTGACCTTATAAAACAAAGTACGTTTTACAGTACGTGGACAAATTACATTACATTTCATTTAGCTGACGCTTTTATCCAAAGCGACTTACAATAAGTGCATTCGACCAAGAAGATACAAACTTGAAGAAAACAGAATCATATAAGTACATCAGGTTTCATAGAGCCAAAACATTTCAAGTGCTACTCAACTGGCTTTAGATAAGCCAGTCCTTTGTTAGTGTATAAATGCTATGTTAGTATGTAAGTGCTTATAAGTGCTTTTTAAAAAAAAAATGTATTAAATGAAATAGAAAGAAAGAGGTCTCACATTCAGCTCCCATCTATAGCCATCACTATGCTATGACCCTGCCATGCGGCTAGCCAGATCACCCCCCCCCCCCCCCCCCCACCACCCTCCTCCTCCTGATCCTGGTCCTGCTCCAGCACTTACCAAGGATTTAATGTTGCCCCCATCATCTGTCAGGCAGATCAGATCAGCGCTGTAATACACATTAGCATGTGAGGCCACAACCCGATACAGAAGTCCTGAAAAACAACAGCCGAAAAATCTGTGTAATCCCACAATTACTGTAATAACTCTCTCTGCGTTCTCTTTTTCACATACACAGTGCTTTGGCAAATTTAAATCTGATGTTCAGGAGTTAAGAGTGATGTAAGGCCGGGTCTTTCTGGAACAATGTGTATTCTGATAGACGGGTTGTAAACAAAATACCAACGGGTGGTTTCCAGCCATATAACAATATGCTGCTGGCGCTGGATCTCAGGCTAACATGCTAAGCCTCTTCGCAAAGCAATTTTTTACAGTAACTCCTGATAAAAAGCTTTGTTCTGATATCCTTTGACACAGAAAGAAACTGCAGAAGACAAAACATGTTTTCATTTCCAACAGTCCAAACTAAATAATTTCAGCTAATAAATCTGCCATGAAATCAACCCAGGGTGTGTTGAGTAGTATGATATAAAACCTGTTATCAGCTTTCAGCCACATCTTGTATCTTTCAGTTTACGACCGCCTGACACTCCTTCTTTGTTTTAGTGTTGGTGCTAAGTAGACAAGAACATGTCTTTGTGTTGGCGATGCTCCTGAAAGTTGTGACCATAATCATGTTGTATTTATTTAACCTCTCAGCCAAAATCTCTTAAAATTAACTAATTATTATTTTAGCAAGGATAGTTTTTAAATCTCAATAGACTGCTGAATACTGCTTCCTTGTATGTTAGCTTTAGCAGTTGTAGCGTACAAGATTAAAGCAAATACAATTTGAGAATAATGCTTTCCTTATTGGCTTAAGTGTGATGGAGCATGCATGTTAATCATCCGTCACGTTGAACAGGCAACAGCCGTGATTTGGATCTATTATTCGCGTTGGCACTTGCACAGAAGTCCATTTATAAACACATTTATTCTCAAGAGATATCAATACATTTGAATAATTCATATACAAAATAATTCATTTAATTGTAGCAGATGGTAAGCAGATGCATTTACTTGCATTTACATACATTCTTTACATTTAAAATTATGCTACGACTGAAGATTATTGTCATTAAATGAACACTACTGTAGGTCATTATTAATTATTTAATTGATTGGTCTGCAAAATAAAATATTAAATAAAATAAAACACAAAGCCAAAGATGATAGCATCTAATTTCTAGCTTGTTCTTAAGATGAACAAAAGAAGCCGATTTTTTTCAATTCGGAAGCTCTAAATAGGTATAGTGGGTCATTTTTGCTTTAGAAATGATCTGTGCAGCCTGTGATGTTTCATGCATCCCATGTGTATCCACTTTGCCTCAAACTGTTGTTTTTTCAGGTTTAATGATTCCCCACTATCAAAGTTCCTCTTGACAGCCACATTTTGCATTCTGTTAGAAATGTGGAAAGATCAATGCTGGCTGCAAAACAAGAACTTTTTTCCACTTGTTGCTGAACATTGCAACACAAATGTTGAGTCCAGAGTAAAACTGTTGCTCAGTTTAGTGCTGTGCTGAGAGTTTGTGACACGAATATAAACTTTAAAGGTGGGGTAGGTAATTTTGGAGAAACCAGCTCGAGTGCGCTAGAAGTTGAAAATACACCGCCGGAAAAAATCTGCCACTTCCTTACAGAGCCCCTCCTCCAACACACACAAACGCGCACAAGACCAATGAGGGCACGAGATAAGTTTGTGCACAGATGGAAGGCTGACAGGCAGGTAGGCCATCCAGTTATTTTAGCCGGGCCGGCTAAAATGATTGGTCGTGCTTTTTACAGCGCTACGGCTTCCACAGATTACATTTCTTTATGGATTTTTTGTCAAAGCACTTAAGATATTCATTGCTATCGGGATGTTAAGAGCATTCCATGGAATATAACAAAAAGTGTATCTCGAGCCGGTTTCTCAAACTTACCCCACCTTTAACCATTAGTGAATTTGTATTGAATCGCCTACGTCTATACGGCCTTCTTATTTATATTTTTACTCAAAACAAATGTTATACAAAACTAGGTTTCATAAGACAGCATTTATGTATTTTCCCACAGTTGAAGCAGCCTTTTCAGTCCAGATACGTGATCAAGGACTCTACTCCCACTCCTCTCTACTTCTTTCTCACTCTTTTCTTCTCTGACACTTATAATGCCCTTTATTGGGTCATGGAGTTGTTGTGAGCCATACAAATAGCCTTCAATAGCTTACAAGATGCATCCAGAATGCAGTGGACACATTTTTGTTTTGTTTAGAGTCGTGTACAGTCAACAAAATACATAAATTACTAGCGAAACATAAAATGTAACGTATGTAATTAGAGTTCAAATGAACAATCAACATTAAACTGAATGCAATAGTCTATTTGTGCATTATCTTCAAGATTTTGTAAGAAAAAAAGTATAGGCTAAATGTAAAACAAAAATATAAACCATTCCATTTGCACATAATGTGAGGGCTTTGTATGATAATGGACGTGTAGCCCGGATGATGTTGCATCGCAATTTTGGACGTCGAATTTCAAACACCGAAATTGTGCATTCGAATTTTTTTAACTTGAATTTTTGGGATCTGAATTTGAACATTCACATTTTTTTAACTTGAATTTTTACATTTTTATTTCACATAGGTAAATTCGGAGCAAAAAAAAATCAGATACATGATTTTCAAAGTAATTATTTTCAATGCTATAAATTCGGTGTCTGATAAATTTCAAATACTTCTGTCTCTTGTTTGCTTCCATAATGGACACTATACATTGATTTGAAATCACTGCTTCACAAGATATCGAAGCTCTTGAAAAAATCCAGACTGCTGAATGTTTTCGTTAAACTAATCATAAAATACAAAGTGGACTAGAATCCAATAAAAAGGTATGTCCTACAAAAGTTAATATAGTCCTGCTTTATAGGCGGCAGCACTTAATAATACATACATAATACATGTACTTCAAGTTACATTGCACCACAGCCCATGTCTCTGAATTATCAATACAAGTCAAGAGCACATTAATCTGCAGAAAACATCATCTATATTCTGTGAAGATTTGTTTTTAGATGAATTGTATATCCCTCTTGCCTATTGGTGTAGATATAAGCCGAGAAACAGTCCATTGCCGGACAGTGTGCGAATGAGTCATGAAAGTAAATACCCAACACATCACACTGAACACTCATGCTCCACTTGTGTCATCCCCCTCCCTCCCCCTCCTCTTCCTCCTCCTCTTTATATAAATTGCAGGGAAACCCCATCAGAGCATTAGAGAGAAACTCAGATGGAGATTACTGACAGACTGCAGCAGGCCCATTAAATCGCTCCGGGATTTACCAATCAAATGTGTTGCAATGCTCCTGTGAACTTAGTTTTTTAAGGCGGGACGCACCTTTTTTGCATCTGATCTTTATAGTAGAAATAATTTATTTTTATCAGGCAGGGTGCAATAACTTACTGTTGAGTAAAACTGCAGGAGATAAACTAAGTCTACTTCACTGTCTTGTTTCTACACGTGGGACTTCAGTGCATTTTGTAAGTAAATCTCCAGGAAACAAACTGGCATTAATGTGTTTTTGAAGCGGATAAGAAGCTGTAAAGCAACTTTTTTGTCGAGGGTGTTTTCCCTAATAGAAGTTAAAGCTCCACCTCGGTTAAACCCCACCGGTAAATCCAGCTCACCCTCACTTTAACCCCCGGCACCATGCTGTCCAGTGTGCGCCGACACAGCCTCCGCCTGCAGACCGAGCTGCACCGCTGGAGCATCTGCGACCCGGGCAGCCAGCAGCTCACCGACAGCCTCTTGGCCCGGGTCCCCTCCTGCATCTCCCGCTCCAAGTCCTGCACCAACTCCGCCGGGGAGTCAGACGGGAGCCGCCTGAGCTGGTCGTCCTCAGACTCGTTCATCTCCACCGACTCCGCCGGGGAGTCTGCGGAGCCCGGCGGCCCGTACCGGGTGGTGCTGTTGGGGGCCAGCGGGGTCGGAAAGACGACCTTCGCCAACATCTTCGCCGGAGCAGCGGACAGCATGGACATCGATGACTGCGAGCTGTGTGGAGGTGAGGAAAGACGACAAATATAACTATAGTGACATTTTATTTTTGATAAACGACAACAACAAAAAAGAAATCCACATGAATAAATGACAAAACGTACTTTTTGTCATAATACAATCTAGTATTGTCATAACATCTGATAAGGACACTATTATGTAGGCTATTACCTTGCATTTGCTAACGGCACTAAAAAAGCACAATATTGTTCCTATTTTTTATATAAGTCTATTGTTTCACTTTTAAAGTGTTCCCCTTTGTTTGTTATGTGTTTCTTTCCAGAAGAGGTGTGTGAGAAGGAAATTGAGGTAGATGGAGAGCCTGCAACTCTGACTCTTCTTGACACATGGGATGCAGAGGTGAGACAGAAACAGCTACATTGACTTGTGTGACTCAGATGATGGCACACTGTACACATCTAAGTGAAAATATTGAATCTAACTGTTTGTATTTGTGTTTTCAGACTGACAACAAATGTGCTCAGGAGCCCTGCATGCAGACAGGTGATGCCTACCTGCTGCTGTACTCTGTGACTGACCGGGCCTCGTTCCTGCGAGCCTCTGAGCTCAGGATCAGCCTGCGGTGCGTCCGTCCTGCACAACACACACCCATCATCCTGGTGGGGAACAAATGTGACCTGGTGCGACGCAGAGAGGTGTCTGTCAGTGGTGAGGATACAATCCCTGTCTGTGCGTAATGAGCACTATTCACTGTAAGGTTTTAACTTATTTAAGTCATCATTGGCTTTCTGTTTCAGAGGGTCGTGCCTGCGCTGCTGTCTTTGACTGCAAGTTTATTGAAACCTCAGCCGCCATGCAGCACAACGTGTGGGAGGCTTTTCACGGCATGGTGCGACAGTTGCGTCTACGCCGAGAATCCAAGGAAGCCAACAGGCACCGCAGGCACATAAACTATAACGCACGCAGAGAGAGCCTCCCTAAGAAGGCAAAACGCTTCCTAGACAAGGTGGTGGCAAAGAACAATCCCAGTGTGGCGTTATGGCTCAAGTCTAAGTCCTGCCATGATCTCTCCGTGCTGTAGGAGCCTGACGGACGCTTTGGTTTAACTCTGCGCCAAACCTTTAAAGCAGACTCCAACCTAGAGAGCAGAAAATGGTGACACCTGCTTCTGAAGGGCTAAACGTTGGATGGTTCAAACCTCAGTCCTCAGTGTTCACACTGAGCCAGGTTGGTGTACCTGAGAGGTGTTTGCAAATGTCCTGCAATGCATCCATATGCTGCTCTCTAAAGCAGACTGAGTGGAAGAGCACAGCCTTTGCAATGGACTTGACGCAAAGACTTCATGTGTTTATGAGGCATTAATGTTGGAGGATTACCGATGGAAACTGAGAGAAGGCTGTGATGTTTCTGTGTTTTGAACAAATGCATTCATATTGTTCTTTTCTCTCCTGCCTTCTCTCTTTCCTCATCCTTTTGCTCTCATCCCTGCCAAACGTGTCGTCTGTCAAAGTGCTGAGATTACCAGTTGTAAGCTATTGATGATTAAATATGAGGATGATCATCTAGTGGTTTCTTTGATTTGATTTATTACATGTTGTCTTTGCACTCTGTAATAAATAACAGACTGATGATGTATTTTGCTACTTGTATGTTTCAGTGTTGTTTATTGAAATAAAGTGACATCATCCAATTTTGGGTAATACAAAAAAAGTGTTGCTTGTTGTCTGTCATCTCAAAATGAACAATGAGATGGGTGACTCAGCTTTGATACAAAAGAGACACAACTGAGCTGTCAAAAGATGAGTCAGGTAACATTAAAGCTGAACTTTTAGAAACACATAAGTCCCCTTTTTATGGTTGTCTGTCTGCGTGGTAAAAAAGTGGTAAAATATATTGCCACGGTAACATTCCCAGGAAGTGTTTTGTGTATGTTCATTTGAGTGACCGTCAGGCAGATGGTGTTGGAGCCAGAAAATCTATCAGAAGGCAGAGCATCAAACATTAGATAACAGAGTCCCCTCCATCTGAATTCATGGTTTCATCCGCTGAGCCATCAACTCACAGGTTCTGGTTAAATGACGGTGCTGTGAAACGGTGACTCACACACAGCCTGTTATTCTACAGTTGCAGATTCACATAAAGCTCTGCGTTGTTTCCAAGCAGCTTTCCGCAGCTTGTCAAGCCTGCAGCTTTTAGCCCATGATAATGGCCTGTGTAGCATTAGGGTGTTTTGAAGATAATTCTGGCTAAATGTGAGGTCGGGTGATGAATGTGAAAGCAGTACAAATCTTGAAAATATTGGACAAAAAAAGTACTATTGTTTGCCACATTTTAAGTTAAAACAAGATTATTGCACACATTATTGCTTTTATCATATAAAGCTTGAGCGTATTGGACTCGCCATCTTCAAAGCAAATACAGCAAGAGATTACAGAGCTGCAGCAGATCCACTGCAGCTTGATGTGGCTACTGTCAGATAAAACATATTTTGCTCAGACAGCTTTTTCTGTGAAAGGAACAAAGTCCTTGAAATGGCTAGCTGATCACTTGAAGTGTGCTGCAAATTCACCGCTTTCAAGAGAGATACCACACTCCTGTTAGTTCAGAAACAAAGCTGTACTCATCTCTATTCTTTTAATGTTGTGTTTTTATGTGTGTTTAATTGTATCTAGGTGTATTCAGCATTTACTTTTACATTCCTGTTCTAATCCCCCAGATTTTGTTTGGCAACTTGCTTTGGCATTTGTCTATGTTAAAGGGGACCTATCATGCAAAATGCACTTTTGTACGTCTTTTATACATGAATATGTGTCCCCGGTGTTCCAGGGAACTCACCAAGTGTCAGAAAACACAACCCTCTCTATTTTCCTCCGTACCCAAATCTCTAAAAAAGGGGCTGCAACGGATCTGATAAAAACTGATCCAGATTTGAACACTGTCCTGACGTCAGGACGGTGGCGCTACGGCTATTGGGCCAACTCCACCAATCAGGAGGAGACAGCCACGGCCATTGCCGTTCGAACGCGCTGGAGACGCTGTAGTACATATGCCAGGCCTGTAGGTGGTGCTGTTCTCACAGAATCAGCCCTTGCAAAAACAGAGCTAACATTTTTCAAATTGAGCGAAATGAGGCATGGCTAAAATGCATGATCTGTTTGGTATTTTGGAAAAAAAAAAAGTATAATATGCCTTATATAGGTATGGTCCTACACTATATTATTCAAATATAACATGATAGGTCCACTTTAAATGCTCCTATTAACTATACCATAAATTAATAATAACACGTGAAGAAAAACATGGGCTTTCAGGTTTTTTATGGCGTTATAAACTTTCTAGAGGTGGAAAAGTTTAGGGAGGAATCTCACCTGCTGTTGAACACTTTTATAGACTGTCCCTTGACCTGCTGAATCACACCAGATGACCCCATATTTGCATTCTTATGATGCAATGAATTGTGAGTGTAATCTGTGAGTCCTATTGTCTATGCACACACACAGCTCTTATCAGGCACTGCTACTAATGGAAAATTTAACAGGAAACAGTGCAGAGGTGCATAGGTCAAAGTCTGAGGGGAATTTAGAAACTAAAATGCTGAATAGCAGATTTCTACATACATTTACCCCCATTGTTATACCCTTTTCATTCCAAGTTTTTCTCTTTTTCTTTTCAATGAACACACCTGTTGTCTCAAAAATACTCAAGTGAAAATCCTTCAGCTTGTTTGTTTGCTACTATAATCCACTAACAATCTATACCTGGTGAGTATTTATGTAAAATCAGTGTCTAATATTAAGTGATCATTTGTTTGCCTTTTACAGTACTGTCTGAATCATTGTTCTGTTCTTCCTGTCTCCTTCTCCCTTGTCAGCTTCTCTCCCATTGGCTAGCTCCACATGAGGGCAGGGTGATTAGACAATCATTAGATCCAATAAAACATAGCTGGTTAGCGCTTGGTTAACGTTTGACCAGACAGGATGGGGCTGCTAAGATCACTCTGAGGTCTGGGGAGTGACTCGCTAGATCGCTTCGGAAAGGTAAGTCTGCTCACTCTCTGTCTCCTAGCTTTGGAAATGTTGAATATTTGGAGTAGATTTTGATGTGAGAATTGGACAGAAACTGATCTGCCTCTTTGGGTTTAACTGGATGTGTTTAGTGTGCCAGGTGCTTTTAGTTTGGTTCAGAAAGGCTGTGATCTTCAGTTGACTTTGGCAGGGCCTTTGCGTCAGGCGTTGGCAAATCTGACATTCGACCTGTCCTTCCTCTCTGGTGGCTTCCTGGTTTGTCTCCAGTGCCTGGCTTTCAGGGGATATTAGCTGTATGGGGCACTATATTTGAGCTGAAATGCAGACTGACAAAGGTCATTGAGCCAATTTGCTAAAAGGAGGAAGAAAGGGCCTGCAACACCGAAGTTATTCCATCATACTTACATCAATCCTTGTTGCGACAAATACACTAAATACATCCATTTGCAGAGTGTTTTCCTCACAGGAAGTCAAGCTTAAATTAAAAGTGATTTCTGTTAAATGGTAGTGCCAGCAATGTCTTGTTTGTTTGAATATTCCCGTCAGCAGAGGTAGTGATCCTATCAAGACAAAATCCGAATTAAAGTTGAACTCAAGCGAAAGTGAACTAAAGTTACCATGCTTTCTTATATTATCTTATATTAAGGAGTGTACCAGGGCGGTGACATTAAAGGTGTGCTGTGCTACAATAAGGTCATTAGCCGCGACTCAATGTCACCTTCACTTTTCTGTGGCCGCAGACTTTAGCCTCCTCTCTTCGCTGCATTTTACAAGTCTGCATATCTCAAACGTGGCAACTTCTCTATACAATCCTGATACATCTTCTTAGCACAATCAGTTATTTTAGTCTTGTTCGACATGAATGAATACTGTCATTGTCCAGAGCGTAGTCATTGTGATGTTCCCTCAAACAGTATTGAACATATATTCTGCTGTTATCTGGACATAACGTCTTTGAAACACTTTGTACATTTTGGATGTCAGAGAGACAGTGTTTGCTATCAATCAATTTATACAAAATGAAACCACACCCACCTATACAAACACACAATGGAGGCTGTTATGTTATTCTAAACTCTGAGATAGCTGTAAACTCATTGAGGTTTCCACATTGAGCTTTGGGTACCTTTGTCATGTTGATACCCTGTGTGAAAATTTGTTTTTTTAAAGTCTGGCGATGCATTTGAGCTCTGACTTTCAGTTTCTGCTGTGTGCTGAGGTGGGTGGTTGTGCTGGATGTGTGGGTGGAGCCACACAAGGAGATACCATGTTCATGTGTAGATACCCAAGGACACATTTTCCTTGGCTTTATGAATCAATAACTAATTTTGCTGAACAGAGAAAGTCGTGTACTGAAGCACACTGGGGTTAATGGTTTCTTGAAGGACTCGGTAACAATTATCGACACCATTTTCCATCATTCCCGTTAGCAGAAGATGTGAATTTAACAGCAGAGCACAGTATTCAAATCTTATATAATGTCTTTTTATTTTCAAGGGCTTAATTTAAACCATCCTCTCATGTCACCTCTGCCTCCTCAACCTCTTTCTTTCCCTTTCACCATGTTATAATAACACCTATCCCCCATATCTCCTCTTCCTTCCCAGGCTGTGATCATGACACCCATGATGCATCTGTGGTTGCTCCCACTCCTGTTGAGCATTGTGAGTACATAACACTGCCAACTGTTGTTCCTATCCTTTAATTCATATTCATAGTAAATGCACAAACAGAGGACCCTCTTAAAAGGCTATTGGATTCATTCATGAACAATTCATAGGTGCAGGAAGTATAGGCTTGACAATCTTGAACAAAGAAAATATTGATGACCAAGTTAAAGAAATGTGTGCAAGAAAGCTTTTGGTTACTTATTTAAAACGCATAAAGGAAGTGTGAATATTACTAAACTAAGCGTTAGTCTTTTGTCCGTAGACTTTGCTCTGTCCTGCAGCGAAATACATGAGTTCCCCACTTGTCATGTATTCTTGGTTCAATAAATAACTTGGCTGTAAAACATGCCCTCAATGCCTGACTACATTCAGCTGCAGTATCGAGTTAAAAGTGCTAATGTGTGTGTGAGTGTGAGAGGTTCAGTTTGACCTCAGCCTGTAGTGTATTCAGTGACCTTTGACCTCTGTTTCTGTTCTGATAGGCCTTCGGGAAGGATCTGGAGGAAAAGAAGGGACCGTTTGAGAACACACAGCTGGATGTGGCAGAGGGGACACCGGTGCCATATGCCATGCATCAGGTATTACACACATAACTAAAAGCAATTATTCAAACACTACACCTAAGTCCAATTTGCAGGTATATTTGTCTTTTTCCTCAAATGCTACTTCATACTTTTCCTTCATAACACATCAGAGGTTTAACAATATCACATTTTTTGATAATTATTTGACTCCCGGGTAGAGATTGAACGATGTAGGATGTTATCTTGATAAATCACTATCAATAAGTTATTCTAGGTGAATTTCTATTATGTGGTTACATGAGAGATTTGAAAAAGCGGTCTAGCTCTATTATGTTAGATAGGTGAAAATGAAACCTTTTTTAAAAACAGTTATTCAGATATCAAATCAAATCAAATCAAGTTTTATTTATATAGGACATTTAAAAGCCATTTTTGGTCGAGCCAAAGTGCTGTACATGTAATAAAAACAC